CCTGAAATCGCGCTGAAATTGCACACAAATGTGTGATTTTAAATCGCAGCGATGTGACCAGTTATTTAGAAAGATATTTTGGTTTTAATTAATTTAACTTTTTGATACATGTGACCTGTGAAATCAACTTCCCTTTGACTGGTATTCCAGTCACCTTTTTTCTTTTGTAATAATACAGCTGCTGCAGGGACCGCACTGACTTAGTGAGTTGACATATTACCAATTTACCTTTCTTAGCAATAAAAACTGACAGGGGTTCTAATCCTTCTCTACTGGATCCATTCCACTGGATATCGCAGGAGATAAAATGCATAAACCACATATGGAAAAATACAGTAATAGTAGTTTTTTTTGAATGCCAAAAAACGTTTTGAAAAAACGCTATGAGGTCAGGGGCGGACTGACCATTTGGAAACCAGGGCACTGCCCGAGGGCCCGGGGTCAGTATGGGGCCCCATGAGATACCCCTGGTAACTTTTTCATAGGCTTTTTTGAGTTTGTGCAAGGACACAAGGGCCCCATGATCCCCTATTGCCCGGGGGGTCAGTAGGGGGACCCATGAGATACCCCTGGTAACTTTTTCATAGGCTTTTTTGAGTTTGGGCAAGGACACAGGGGCCCCATGATCCCCTATTGCCCGGGGGCCCCATGAGTTGTCAGTCCGCCCCTGTATGAGGTATTTTACTGCACATTTTAAAGAAGAAAATACTGCTTTGAAATTAGAGCCCTATATGATAATCATCATGTTGTCGATTATTGTACATTTGTTTACAAACATCAAATGTACATTGAGCCTGGGTTCACATATATGCTGTACGGTATATCGCATGTGATTCGCACCGCATTCTTGTGAAGATCACATGCAATTTATGTGCAGTGTGATTGGAGCCATACATTTTGTATGGCTCTAATTGCACCGTACCCACACCAAAAAGGTGCAAGACCCTTTTTTGGGTCCACACTAAAATCGGATTGCATAGGTAAGAAAAGAAATGTCTAGCGAGCGCTTCCAAAAGAAAAGAAAAGTATGCAGCTGCTAGAACACCAAAAAAGGCAACCAAAAGAACCTTCCAAAAATCAATGTAAAATATATATAGGTGCAGCGCTGAAATATAAAAGCAACTCAAATATGACATAAATCAAGCATAGCCAAGCATAATGAATGCGATATAATACGTCATCCTTTAGGATATACAAAGTGCAATATATGATATCACCATAAGGTGACCATAGTGAAATGAAAGTCCAATAAGGAAATGTAAACGTGGGGATCCTGTGGGATCACAATGGATATTTGATCCGAAGGTGATGAATGATGTAACTCAATAAATAGAATGCGCAATCACCAGAAGTGCGTATATAACACGCATATAGGAAGAATCCTGTGTCATCAGGCACTCATTAGGTCATCCGTATCCTGGTCTGGTCACATTCCGTATCACCATTCGGTTATAACCATATTAGGGTTCCAGGATCACTTGGTCATATATATATTCACCAGCGGTGGCTAGATGTCCAGATGCTGTAGCTCTGACGCGTTTCATGCTAAGCACATAGTTATAAGGTGCAGGTCTTACAGCAGGACATCTTTACTGATCTATTTATATTTAAAAATGGCGCTCACGCTTACTGCACCCGCCATTTTGCCGGCTACCGGCACATGCGCAGTACGCCGGCGCCATTTTGTCGTGTATCGCGGAGACATCTCATGTTACTCTATGTCCCGGAGCTGCGCGCACATCGCGGCACCATTGTATTGAAGATGTAAGGCTAGTGATGTCCGCATACCGGATCAGAGGGACAGCTAGGAGCTGTCAAAAGTTTGTGGGAACTTTAAATTATAGAATAAATATCTAATATGAGATACATGATGGGTATTGGAATGCAGTAGGTATTCACACCTATGCGATCCGATTCTGCACATCGCACCGCATTTTGCAGACCTCTTTCGGGGTGTTGTTAACTTATTAAATACACCCTCAGCGTTCACATGAATGGGGTGCGATTCTGATGCAGTGCGGAAGTCGCACAGAAAACGCTGTGAATTCCACGCCGCATCAGTGTGAACCAGTAGTGAGGAGTGAGAAACCTTTTGATTACATTTCAGTGTAATACAAGTGCTGCAATTTAAGGAGGAAATTTCTGCAAGTTTTAGGAAATGAGATATCACTAATTTCTTGGCAAAATCAAACTTGACAATATGGGGTTGATTTACTAAAGGCAAATATACTGTGCACTTGCCAAGTGCAGTTGCTCTCATTTTCCTCAGAGCTTAGTAAATGAAGCTTCATTTTACAAAGAATACCCAATCTCATCTCAAAGAAAATGAAAATAAAAACATTTCTGCTTGCACATGATTGGATGATGGAAGTTATGAAAGTTAGAAGAGCCCCCTCTTTCATTTACTGAGCTTTGGAATAACTGCACTTGCAAAGTACACAGTCTATTTGTCTTTAGTGAATCAACCACTATAGAAAAAAATATATAGTGCAGCTCTTAAATATAATTAGTTACTGTGACCTTAACATAAACTATGCCAGTGTATAAAAACAAATCAGTGTACCGGTGTTAACAAAAATGTATCCAATCAATATTATAAAAGCTGATATCCCAAATTCAACATAAATCAGCCTCTGGCCACCAATCTGGTTCCCTGGATGGAAAGGAGCTCACACCACAGAACCCAAATAAAGGTATATGGTGTACTGTTTTATTGTTAAAATTGCCAATAAAAAGCCTTAAAATGCAACCACGTGTTGATATTAAGAAGGGAGGGGTCTTACGTACTGATGTCATGCCGCTGTTTCTGGGACTTGGACCGGCGGCCATCTTAGTAAGTCCGGACTGAATGCTTATTTGATATCACTACATGGTTGAATATACAGTAAACACTTTGTATTGACAATTCTATTGACTGCTTTTACTGAGTTGTTTCTGGGTAGTCTGTTCCCTGACACCTTCCACCACATATTACCATATTACCATGCAAAGAAAATCAATAGCCTCACAAGCAGCTTATACTCACCCTCCCTTCCTCTGCTATTTGGTTTGGCCACCCAGTACTTCCAGGTATGAGGTAACATGTCACTCACCTGCCTTGCGCTGATGTGACAATGCTTAAACTTGATGATTGGCCACTCAGGCCCCCAGTAATGTCAAATGGGATGGAGAGAGATCCCTCAGCCCTATAAAACCTTTGAGCTCACTTGAGATCTGGTGATCTTCATTCATTGGAGACGTGATCCAGTGCTGTAGCACAGGCATGCTGTCAACCAGTCCTCTTTACCACCACTGATCATAAGATCCTTATGGCACTGCGATTCTCTGGAACCTTAGAGGACCCCACCACTGGACTTATTTTAATGCATCTTACTAAAATATGTACATATGCGTTTTCTTTTTTTAAGCTTTTTTCCTTCATTTTCACCTGTTGATCTGGCAATTTTTTTTCAACTTTCTTTAACAGGCCAAGCTGTCCAGCAACAGTGGCAGTTAGAAAGTTAAGCCAACCATATAAGACTGACAGGGGTACCTACAATGGCCAGCGTTTATTCATTGATGTAAAAACTTTGTCTCAAAAGGAAAGTAAACTTTAATTTGTTGATCAAGTCAGTCTAAGGCAAGCCATAGATGGTGCGAATTTCTCTCAATTCACCCATCAACACAGACAGGGTTCACAGGGGAACCCCTCCCTCGAAGCTTCTAACGATAATCACATGTAAAATCACATGTAAAATCCGGCAGGCTGGTTGTACCCAAGTTGATCAATCAATCAACTTGGGTACATTCAGCCTTCCCATACATGGTTTGAATTTCAGCTGGTTCCTGCTGAACCAGACAAAGATTCAAACCGTCTATGGCCAGCTTATGCTTGGTACTACATCTAACACTACCCACTCCCTAGGTTGACAATCAGTGGTGTATTTGGGTTTTGTGCTGCCCTAGCACAAAAATCTGTGTGTGTGTGTCCACCGCGGCGCTGCCCCCCTGAAAAATGCCACAAAAGGCAAACACCTTGTTTTCTTTGCGGTAAATACCCCCTTATTGGCAATGCTGCTGTCCAAAGGTGGTTCTATTGTTCCTCCATGGAGACTGAAGGAACCCTAAGAGAGAAAGGGTGCTACTAGAACCACAGAAAAATAACGGAAAAAAAAGCCTACAATAAGAAAACTAAAGCAGCCACCGCATCAAGGAATAGGTTAAGAATTGGTAAGCTACAATATATTACATTTGTGAATTTGGGTTTAATACCACTATAAGTCTCTCTATACCCTAATATACATATTGGCACATTACCATTCTGGAGTAATTATACCCTTCATTTTACAAATTTCTCAAAAAGTATATCTTTTAAATATCTGTGTGCAATGTCCACCTTTGACCAGGGGAACACGTATAGAAGCACCTGAAGTGATGGACGTCTATAGGAGAGATAAGTACCCCCATCTCTCCTACAAAAGTCCATTACTTCAGGTGCTTCTATATGTGTTCCCCTGGTCAAAGGTGGACATTGCACACAGATATTTAAAAGATATACTTTTTGAGAAATTTGAATATGAGGTCTGACCAGAGGCGGACTGACCATTTGGAAACTCGGGCACTGCCCGAGGGCCCGGGGTCAGTAGGGGGCCCCATGAGATGCCCCTGGTACCTTTTTCATAGGCTTTTTTTGAGTTTGTGCAAGGACACAAGGGCCCCATGATCCCCTATTGCCCGGGGGCCCCATGAGTTGTCAGTCTGCCCCTGGGTCTTTATATGGTATATTGTATTCTAATGTATGTAAGCTGATGGTAAAGTATTACATGAAGTACTTACATTTTTATTATTATTATTATACAGGATTTATATAGTGCCAACAGTTTGCTCAGCGCTGTACAATATCACAGGAGAAAATACAGCAACAATACAGTTCAATACAAGAGGGATAGGAGGGCCCTGCTCCTCGGAGCTTACAATCTACATTATGTACATTTGTTCTTTATAAGAGCATTCTAATTACTTGAACTGCATGTGCATCCTTTATTAACTGGACTTTGTTCCAAGGAACACTTTCGGTGAAAATCAGCATATGCTGATGACTCTTGATGTATATTGTATAGTAATAGTGTTGCAATGGTATTTTATGTTCTTAACAAAATTTTATGTACAGTATGTCAAAGAAATCTTTTTTTTTTAATGTGAAAGCCAAAATAAAATGTTTTTATATATAGTACGGGGGTATTTACCTGAACTGCAAATTCTGGTGCAGCTCTGGATAGAAACCAATCGGCTTCCAGTTTTTATTGTCAAAACTTAATTTTACAAGTTGAAGTTAGAAGCTGATTGGCTACCATGCACAGCTGCCCCAAATTCTGAGTGCGCCAGTTTTAGGGTCCATGTGCACTGGCAGAAAAAACCCACAAATTTTGAGTGTTTTTTGTACTAGCTTTTAGGAGCATTTAACGTTTTGGGGTTTTCTTCTTCTTCTAAACACTGAGCTTAAAATAATCCTCTAAATGGCCGAATGTGCATGAACACATAGGATAACCTTAGCTGCTTCTACAGGCAAAAGGCTAATCTCCTCTGAGAGCAGCGTTTTTTTTAAGCCGTGGACCGTTAGTAAATCCCCCCCTATGTTGCTAGCATACCTATGCCTCCTTTTCCCACACATGAGGTTTTTGACAAGTTTTTTCCTTTTCAGCAGTTTTTCTGTTTAGAATTTCTCATGTAAAAAATCGTCAAGTACTAAGAAGTTCTCACAGTCATCAATCAAATTCAAACCTACCTTGGAAGCCCAAATGTGATTGGTGATGCAGGAAGCAGAGAGAGACACTACTCTCGGTGCTCTACTACTGCCTGCCCACTGATCCTTTTAGATGGTCTGTGATAAACTGGCTGCATACATTACACAGGACTCAAATCAACAAGTTATTTTTTTCCTTTTCAGCAGTTTTTCTGTTCAGAATTTTTCATCAGCAGTTTTTCTGTTTCAGAATTTTTCATGTAAAAAATGTCAAATACTAAGAATTTTCTTCAGTCACCAAGCAGATTCCAACCTACCTTGAAAGCCTAAATGTGATTGGTGATGCAGGAAGCAGAGAGAGGCACTACTCTCGGTGCTCTACTACGACTCTACTACTATTACTACTACTCAAATCAACAAGTTTTTGTTTTTCCTTTTCAGCAGTTTTTCTGTTCAGAATTTTTCATGTAAAAAATGTCAAGTACTAAGAATTTTCATCAGTCACCAATCAGATTCAAACCTACCTTGAAAGCCTAAATGTGATTGGTGATGCAGGAAGCAGAGAGAGGCACTACTCTCGGTGCTCTACTACGACTCTACTACTACTACTACTACTACTCAAATCAACAAGTTTTTGTTTTTCCTTTTCAGCAGTTTTTCTGTTCAGAATTTTTCATGTAAAAAATGTCAAATACTAAGAATTTTCTTCAGTCACCAAGCAGATTCCAACCTACCTTGAAAGCCTAAATGTGATTGGTGATGCAGGAAGCAGAGAGAGGCACTACTCTTGGTGCTCTTGGTGCTCTACTACTACTCTACTACTACTACTACTACTACTACTCAAATCAACAAGTTTTTTTTTTCTCCTTTTCAGCAGTTTTTCTGTTCAGAATTTTTCATGTAAAAAATGTCAAGTACTAAGAATTTTCTTCAGTCACCAATCAGATTCAAACCTACCTTGAAAGCCCAAATGTGATTGGTGATGCAGTAAGCAGGGAGAGCTCTCGGTGCTCTACTACTGCCTGCCCACTGATCTTGTTAGATGGTCTGTGAAAAACTGGCTGCATACATTACACAGAACTCAAATTATAATAAACCGAACTTCCTTACTTATCTCAGCACAGCATTACCATATACCAGACAGCATTACCATATACCAGACAGCATTACCATATACCAGACAGCATAAGTAGCTCAGCAGCCTTAAACTGTTCTTTAAACTCTCATCTAGTTAAACGTATATGCGCTTAATCTGGAAGACACGCATATGTCTTCCTCCAACATCCCTTATGACTGCATACATATATTTCTGCAGATAGGAATTCTCATTTGTGACATTGGAACAGAGTGGCTCAGTCGCAATGTGACATTCGCGTGTACGGCAAAGGCTGGATGATGCCCTGACAGCAGCGGGCTCAAGGGCTGGGTTCCCTCTTGGCCCTTGGGTGACAGTGACAGATGGGGCAAGCAAGCAGAGCAGGGCGGTTGACTTATTGCAGCTGCCAGCCAGTGACACAAACCCATTTGGAGCGGGAAGTGATAAATGTCCCACTCAGTTTAAACACAGGGAAGTAAATTCCTCCCGACAGCCTCAGCTGGGCTGATTTAACCCTGCTCCTCCTGCTTTGCGTCTGTTTCTATGCAAGCTGTTTGACGCAGTGAGAGCTAGCTCTTGGGGTTCTGTAATGGCCAGGAGAAGGGACAATGTTAAATAGATGAGGGGATGGAGAGAAAGATTAGAGGGGAGGAATTTAATATATGTGTGTGTGTATGTATATATATATATATATATATATACACACACAAAATATACATTATATATGAATATAATGAATAGGGACTATAAAGAGGGTGAAATCGAATTTAAAATAAATTAATAAAAAAACAAAAACTGATGTAAGAGAGAAGCCGAATGTAATGTTAGCTCAAGGATAACAGAGACAGAAATTTTTTGAACGCAGAGACACGAAGAATCAATGGCACCTGCAATATAAGCTTCACATCCCAAACCCCATTAACCCCCAGACCCTTCACACAGCAATTACATACTGTCAATCACGCAAGAGCCACTTGTGAGAGAGACATCTTGTTTACTTTCACAGAACGCCTGGCAGACAGGGATTACCAAATACAACTATCAGCTGCCACATAAAAAAAGACAATTTTGGGTATTAAAGGATCAGTTCACCCAAAAGTGAAATTTTAGCTTTTTGGTATTACTTAAAGTGTCTCCAATGGCATTATCGTTGTTTTGGATAGAGTAGATAAAGGTTAGAACCTATGTTAGGCTTTTATTGTCTTCGTCCCCACTGGGGCAGACTCACCCCTCCATTTTTACGGGTGACCAATGGGGAAATCCAAAATTTTAGAGATGTCACCAGATCAAAAGGAGAGGGGAAATGTTAGAAATTCTGTATATAGCCCTACAGAACAGAAAGTGCACAATCCACATGTTAATCTGCAGCTTCACTGCTAACAGAAAACAGGAACTTTTATTATGGAGAAGAGACATAGAGTTTAACCATAGATGCAGCTGCAAAGTTACAAATATTGCCATCTACTGGTTAAAGAACATATCTCCACTGAGCATTGACACTGATGTAGTTGTTGTAGAAAAATACAAGAACATTATATTACAACAGGAAATCCTCCAAAGGAGACTTCTATTCCTAGGATAACTTTCTAAGAAGAGAATTCGGTTCACTGTAGAGAGATTTCCTGTTGTTTTCTGTTGCACTTTCAGGATAGGATGTGAAAGCAACACCAAGTGATATTCTTATTGTTCAAAAAGAGTCCATACACCTCCGCTACTTAGTGGCCCTTTACCCCCCTGGCAGTTTTCCCGGGTGTAGCTCGGGGTAAAGTTTCAGTACCACAAGTTGTAACCCCGAGCTACACTCGGGCTTACCATGCGGCGCTGCTCCGGGATCTGTTCTCTTACCTTGTCCTGTGCTCCCGCGATGTCCCTCCTGCAGTGTCCCCGGCAATGTAATCCGGCGATGCCGGCATCTGTCATCTGGGTTCCCTCCCCTGTGAGTGTCGGGACGAACGGGGGACGGAACTGGCGGGAAATTTGAAAATGACAAAAAGTGACATTCACTAAATACACTAAAATCACATAGTAAAACATTACTGTATCAAACCATTTCACATACATTTTGTCCCGAGTGCTTTGTCCTGCGCCCTGCCTGCATTTTTACTGTTCTTTCTGCCTGGAAACTGAGAAACATCCATGGCGTCCAAAAAGCGTCCCTTTAGGTCAAAATCGGTTTTAGACCAGCTAGAGAACAGCGATAGTAAATCAGAACCACTTGCAGAATTGAGTGATAATGATTCGTGGGGAAATTCGTCATCAGACACTGAAAACGATTTTGCGACTTTGCTCAGTGATGTGCGAACTTGGCGCTATTTTTCAAATTTCAGTGTTTTTGGTTTGATTATATTATTGAATCAAATTTATTATTATTATATTTTTTTTTATCATTATTTATTAAATTATAATTTATGATTTCGTGTTTCAAGTTTTATCCTACCCGGGATGTTTACTAGACTCTTGTTCGGACAGATTTCAGTGAGTTATTCCTAAAAATTACAGGCCTACAATAAAAAAAATACATATTTCCATGCAAAAAAAATTTACAGCTTTGAGCACAGAATTATGGACATAATCAGACCGCTAGGGAGGTTAATCTTTTTCCATGAAATTGTTCCTTGCCTCTTTGTATTGTCCTCTGTGAGCTCCCAAACCATTCCTTTTGATCTCACTTCCGTTTGTTTGAAACAAGCAGAACCCATTGGATCCCATAGTCCATAGCCCGGAGTCCATCTAGGGAGCGAGCAAGAGAGGGTGGATAGGTTTCCACATACAGTGGGACCATGAAGAGTAAACATAGCCATCATCTAATAGTATATCAGATCACAGCAGTAATAAAAAGGAATTTAGAGATTCGGAGGAGGCTGGGAGCAATGGAAGGGACCTTTCTGTGTTAAGAATACATACACAGGTACAGTACACAACCTAATTCAGGTTTTAAAACCCTTCCCTACTCTATAGTATCCTATTTTTTAAAAATGTTTTGACTTAACATACTCTTTAAAAAAGTTAAACCACTTGATAATTTTGTATTACTTCATTGGTGAGATAAATACATTTGTGTTCTTAAAGTGGTTGTAAAGGCTCCAGGCTTTTTGCCTTCATGCATTCTATGCATGAAGTTAAAAAAACCTTCTGTGTGCAGCTCCCCCCAAGCCCCCCCAATACTTACCTTAGCCCAATCACGATCCAGTGATGTGCACGAGAGCCCATGAGCAATTGGTTCCCACTGCTGCCAA